AACAATTATTTCCAATATGCTTGATGATGTTATAACACAAATTGAAACAAATAATGATCATCAATTGAATTCTTTACCTATTATTGAAGATGATCAAATAGAAGTTGATGAAGATGACGATGATGATGATGAAAATGAAAATGATAATGATAATGATAATGATAATGATAATGATAATGATGATGATGATGATGAAATAGAACAAGAAACTATACAAAAAAATTCATCAAATAAACCAATCAAAATTGATAAAGAACGATCAACAACAAAAACTTCATCGTCATCATCATCATCAACAACAACAACAACAAAACGTGATTTTAAACCAACAACACGAACATTACGATCACATGCACGTGCTAAAATCAATTTATCAACATCAATACAAAGTTCATCTAATATATATAATAATGTTCGACGTGTATCGAGTCGAAGACGTGCTTTAGAAAAAAAAATATTATTAAATGCGAATGAAAAAGAAAAAAAACGTAAATCAATATCAGAACGTTCAAAAAAAGATAAAGATAATACAATAACAAATGATGATATTCATACATCAAGTTATTCTGATGATCAAACTATAGAAAATACTAACGGTATGAATATTATTTTAAAGAATGTCTAAAAAAAATATAAAAAAGAATGTATTAAATTTTTTTTTAGTCGAAAAATTATCTCATACAACAGCAAATCCACATGATGATGCTAGTTCATGTTCAAGTACAGGTGCTGGTGATGGAAGTAGTACAAGTAGTTCAACAATAAATAACAAACAATCAAATACAAATGCTGATATTGATTCATTACCACCTAATAAACGTCGATTACGTGAAAGAAATACGGGAATATCAAATACATCTATACCATCATTAACAACAGAAACATCTAATAATTCAAATTCAAATTCAAACATAGATAATTCACCAGCAGAATCAATGACAACACGTGACATACCAATTAATAGTATTAAACAATTTCTTGAAATTCGACAGCAGGTACAAAAAAATTTTATATAAAATTTACAAAAAAGAATGGTTTATAAATAATTTTTACTAATCTTGAATAGTAAAAATATCGGTCTATTCATAAGACTAACAAAAATCATCCAAGTTATTTTTTGATTTTTCTTCCTTTGTTCTTGAATTGAATATTGAGTTGTCCTTCTCGCTGCCCCCCCCCCCCCCTCCCCAGAAAAACGTCAATTTCCATCAGAAGAATCGAGAAATGTTTTTCGTTTTCGATCGCACATTGCAGAATTCTTGAAAGAATTTCATTGTAGCTAGTTGCTTGCTACCAACGACAAAATGATTGCAAATCGTATTTTTGATCTAAAAAAATATAGTTTACGATCAGAAGAAATTTTCGTAGATATATATAAACAGTACCAATGTAAACATTTATAATACAAATAAAAGTTTAATATGAAGATATAAAATGTTGATATATAGTCTGAATTTTTAATACATCCTTGAATCACATTGGCTCATAGGTCATTGCACACTCCATTGCCTGCATTCTCTAATTAAGAATATAACATTAAATCATGGTAATAGTCAGGTCATGGTCTTGATTTTAACACTATTGAACTAGTATGGAACATTATCACACAGAAAATTTAAAGGAAAAAAAATTCGAACTCACAACATGAATGACAGAATGCGAGCGATGAAGCATGTAATGGCCTATGAGCAAATGTTATTTAGAATGGTGTTAAAAAGATTCAGACAGTATATCATCACTTTGTATCTTCATATTAAATTTTTATTGTATTATAAACGACTACACTTGTACTATTCATATATATCTACAAAACTTTTTTGAGAGTTTTTCGAGTTATTGAATTTGTTATCCTTTTTCTTCACCTGGAAGATAAGAATTAAAACAAAAGGACTCTACCAAGCACTGCAATTTGACATGTTCTTTCAAATATGCCTGACCTAAGATCGATCTTTTATATGGGAGTGGGTATGAAGATTAATTGTCTACATCCGTAGCTGAAAAACATTTAAATTGTTCTATTTTTCTTTCACTGATTATAACCCTTTGTATTAAGTACTATTTACCTAAGCAACAGCTGTTACTCCGTAGTTGACGCAGAAAGAAAAAAAAGGTTATTAGTTGATATTTCATATATATGACTTTGTCATTTAAACTATTTGTATTTATGTTTGTAAATATTTTTTTGTTTCATAGAATAATCTCTGATCTTTTTGTAAATACGAAGATTTATAATTTATAAAATCATTTAAAAAGGTTATAAATACATCTTAAAACTTAATCATGACTTCAACCCACAAGAAATATTATATCTTTTGTTCAAATTTAATATTCAAAAAACAAATCAAAAACAAAGAAAATTTATTTCTTTATTTCTTTAGATTGACAAACGACATGAAACAATGTTAAATGAATTTGTTTTACCAAAAGTTCCAAAAGATTTTTCTGATACAACAATGGCAAAAAAAAGTTATCTTATTGCTCCATCATGTAGTTCATATTCTATAACAACACCAGCATCAATTGGAATAAAACGTTTATTACCACCACCTGATCTTGATACACATTTAGCTGATGTATTTACAAAACAAGAAGACGAAAGATATAAAATGAAATTACGACATCAAGTTGAACGAGTAAAATTAAAAACTAGAAAAAAAAACAATTGTATTTGATTTTTCTTTTTGTAGGATAAATTAATTTTATCTCATGAACAAGAAGTTTTACGTTTATATGGAAATGCAACACGTTCATCAGTTAATCAAGATATACCATTAAGTTATTGTTCATTACTTAAAGATAACGAAGTTTATAATAATCCGTCAATACAATTACCGGAAAAATTTATTAATAATGATTGTACAAATACAGAATTAAATAAACGTGGTAAACATCGTTGGAATGGACGTTCATTTATAAAATGGTTGGAAGATTCAAATCTTAAATATAAACGTCTTAGCGTATGTTATTAATTAAACGAAAAAAAAGGAAAAGAAATATCGTTTAACAATAATGATTTGTTTTTTTTTTCTTAGTGTGAACTCAATGAAAGACAACGTCTTGAAGCAGATACAGTCTATTCAATGCAACGTATGGTTTGGTTAAAACATTTACCAAAAGAATCTGCTAATTTATCATCATCAGGACGAATGAGTTATCTTTTAACTGAACGATATTTACCTAAAGTTGATATAAATCCTAATTTTTGGACTAATTGGGAAACAAGTCCATTTTAATGTTTGTTTTTCTTTTCTTCTCATTTGTTTTTTCGTTGTTTTTCGTCTATATAGATGTATGATCAACTATCTTCGACAAAGTTCTCTGTCTCTCTCTGCCTCCTTTGTTTTTTTTCGCTTTGTGATATTCGTGTATAATTTGTATGTATATCAGAATTTTTCTTTTTCGATGTTGGTTTTTTTATATAAAAATAAAACAAATATATGATTTTTGTTGTGAGATTAAAAAAAAATTAATAATAACAATTCGAATGATTTGTGCATGTTTTTTTATTAATAGGATATATTATATTTTTTATCATAGAATAGAAATACAAGGATGCCGTATCATTTTCGAAGATTAGTGTCTGAAATGAGAGATGTTGTCAATAATATTGTACATGTGGTTATGATTAGGAAAAGGAGAGAATCATGATAAGTACTATCGTCTCTCATCATCTATTTCATAACTTGAGGATAGATAGATTGTATGACTGGGGCGACGTAACCTTATAAGATTTTATGCATCATGAGTCTGTAACAGTAATATCTTATCTAGATTTTCTCTTCGGGGAATGGAGGCGAGAAAGTAAAAGATAGAACTTTTTAAGATCGAGACGCCCATTTCGATCCATTATTCTATTTGTATTGAAGAGATTCCAATGTAGGATGCCATTATCTTTAGAAAAGTCTAGCAAAATATTTCGAGCTAGCAAAAAAAGTGTTTCGCTGATGTGTATATCTAGATTTAAGTAACATAGTCCCGGTTAGAGCCCGTCGGATCCGAAAGAAGATCATAAGACTTTGACCTCAGAAGGGGATATACGTAGATTTGTAGAGGAAGACTTCTTCTATCTAATCATGTAACTACTGTCAAGTTTCATTGCGTACTGTTGAGACACCAATAGAGGACGCCATCTTCAATGCATTTTACTATGGGTGCGGCGAACGTGGCATCCTTTATTGATATCTCAACAGTACCCAATAGAACTTAATAGTACATACACGATTAGGCAGAGGAAATCGAACTTTACGAACCTACACATATCTCTTTCTGGGGTCAAAGTCTTATAGTCGTCTTTTCGGACCCGGTCGAACCGTATTTTGATACTGTCAATGAAATTTTCGAATCGGAATTGGATAATTGTCCCAAAGACACAAGATACTTTTTTCTGACTGTTTGTATTCTGTGATTAGCGTACCTACACATTTTTCAGTCGACCAGAGCCCATCGAGTCCACAATTTTCGAACCCGCATCCAACTCAATAGGCTCTAATACTGATCCTATTTTCGGCAAGACTAGGACTAAAAATGATTGATCTCGCTCATTTCTATGTATATCTCATAGAACAAACTAACAGAAAACAATATTATTTACTCTAATAGATAGTTTTTCTCTCTAATTTTGTACTAACAATAATAAAAATGATAATCTTTACGTGAATGATGTTGTGGATATCACTGCTCACGAACTATGACCACGCAAGATTGAAGACATTTAATTGAGATGCCAAGCAAGTCTACGTTTTTTGATCAAAAATGTCAATAGATTAAATATGAATTGCTGAGAAAATATCAACAATGAATGTTATATATTATCATCAGCAAGAGAATGTTGAAAGCTACTTGATTTACTCAAAATTTTTATTTTTCCTCAATCGAATCTTTGAAATAAGTTCTAACCAAAATTACTTTTCATACTATAAAAGTCATACTTTATTGGTAATATATATTTGAAAAAAAAAACACATTTTTTAATATTATTTCAAAATAATGTTCACATGATTTTACGAAGGAATCACTTTTAATTGTTTCAATCGATCAAAACATTGTACATAACCATCAAATGTATCAACTTGTGTTGTCCAATCAAATTGACGTGCTTTACTTAAATCACCATATCTATCATTAGATGATTTCAAAGAACCATCTGTAATATCAAAAAAATTTTTGTATCAATAAACACTTAAAATTATTTTCATACCTGCAAAAGCCCATGTAGCATAATCAAAAGCTTTTTCATCAAGATTTTCTCTTTGAGCAATACGAATCCAGCCATCTTTATTTTTTGGCATATATTCTGCTAATTTTATTTGTACTTCATTTTCATTTAATATTTGTTCATGATGTGGAATATTAAAATAACTATTTAAAAAATAATATTAATTAAAATAATTAATTGACTTTGTTTTTTTTTTTGTTTTTACTTTTCAATTTTTGGCCACAAATCTCGAAATCGAACCAAATCACCATTAGCAATATTGAATATTTCATTATGAATATTTTTATTTAATACAGTCCACAATTGAAAACGTGCATTATTTGAAGCTGTCGAATGATCAGATATTCTATTCCATGATTTTTCATTACCTGGAAATAATAATGGTTGACTGAGTTCTTTTTGTATTGTTGCATATAATGCAATTGTCACAGCAAAATTCATAAAATTACCTAATTAATTATAGGAAAAAAAAAGAATTCTTAACAAAAAAAAATTTTTTTCTAAATAAAATAAAATAACCTTTAGCAACACCAATAATGGTTGCTGGACGAGTAATGATATATTTCCATCCATATTTTTCAGCATAATCTTTTAAAAGATCTTCTTGTGTAAAATAAAAATTAGAACCTTTATGACGTGGAGCATCTTCAATAAATGGTAATTTAGCTAAATCATCTTTACTTTTATGAACACCATAATACTATAATAAATCGTTTATAATAAACTCAACAAGAATGAAAAAAAAGAAATTAAACTTTTTATCACTTTATATCCTGTTTGTAACGAAAATGTTTGAATTGTTTTTCCAGCTATTTTTACACAAGTGTCTAATGCTTTTTCTAATAAAATTTTATTAGCTTTATCTAATTCATCTTCATCTTTTTTTTCAATATATGTATAATGAAAAACATCTGTTATTGTTTGACCATTAACTTTTTCTAATTCATTAACAATTTCATCGGCAGTGGCATTAAGTATATCAATAGAAATAAAGTCTATACGATTATCTTTTATATCTAATTGAAATGGTCGTCGAGATATACAAATAATATGATTCCATTCATTAGAAGATTGTTCTATTAAAAGATCAATCATTGCCGTACCAGATATTCCATTTGCACCCCAAATACATGCTACTCGTGCTGATAATGAAGACATTTTTATCTATTAAGGATTTAAATAAAAGATAAAAAACAAGATATAGATTGCCACGCAAACAATTGTTCTGCTATGGTCATATAATCACGTTAGAGACATAGGTAGTGGAGACACAATGGCTTGGATGAGTCCAAGCCTACTCTAGACTCACGCTTCGTAGACTAGAGTAGGCTGAAATACTTTTTTCTTCTTCTGTTAGATTGATAGAATTGAGCAGTACACCATATTTTTTATAAAGTATCAGCAAGCCGAAATTTCAGTACCGGTTTGTATTTCGTCTTTTTTATATATAGTTTAATAGAGCGTGCGCTTCTAATTACGAAAAAAACTAAGTCGTAGCATTAATGCACTCTGTTTTCAGCTCGGGAAAAATCAAAAACTTGAAAGGTGTCGTATTTCTTAAAAAAAATTATTTTCGAAATGTGAAAAATTTTCTACTTCACTCTTCTTGCCAGCTCCTGAGAGCATGATTTTCAAACTCAGCGTTAAAACTGAGTATAGATAAGATATTAAATCAATTTTAACTCACAAAGTCTTTCGATGGTAATGCCTCGAATTGCGCCCATTGCAATGCCTATAGATCATTTTTATAAATCTATCGATTGTCGAATATTTTTTAAAATGTCAACCACCAGTTTTTGAAAAACTTCCAATCATTTATAGCTATCGAAGTTGAATTTCCGCTATTAGATAGAACAATGTTGGGGACATCTATTTGTGTACCATTCATTAAGTTCAAAGAAGGTTTTTCAAGAATATTTGTACACGAACATTTTTTTTTGTTGTCCATTTCTATAACTTTTCGTAGGAACCTATGCTCAAATTACACTAAAATTCAGCCCAAAAAGAGCTGTATTATCTAGAAAATTTCTAGATTTCAGAACACTTCTTTTGAAGCATGAATTCAAGGTGAGAATGAAAAAATCGAATAATTATACAGGAAATGCCACACTCTTTGAGCTATATTTTGATGTAATTCGAGCATAGCTCCCTACGAAAAGTTGTAGAAATGAACAACGAAAACAATGTTCACGTACAAATATCCTTGAAAAACTTTTTCGAACTTAAAATATGTTATGCAAATAGATGCTCCCAATATTGCTCTATCTAATGGCGGAAATTCGATTACGATAGCTATAAACAATCGGAAGTTATTCAAAAAATGGTGGTTGGCATTTAAAAAAAAATTCAAGAACAGTTATGTTGGTTGAGTAATGATATCCAATGCTGTATCTTGTTCGATGCATTACATCGTCAGTCACATAAGTACACGTCGTTTTTTTTTCTTTTTACTGTTCTTTGTCGAGCAATATCTTTTTCACTGATACGAGCATAAAAAAAAGGAAGAAGGTCATTTTGAAGCAAAATGTCTTTTTTTTTACTCAAACCAAGTGAAAATGTATTCAGGTAGGTAAAAACTGGTTGTGAACAGGATTGGTATACTTCAGAGGGCTTGAATGAACCTATAGAATATCTATCATCCAACAATCATAATATTCCGATTGTAGTCGGTATTTCATAATCTTTACTGTACCAACTGATGAGGGTATGAATGAAGAGAAGAATGATACTCATACACCTACACCTCATTCATTTGTCATTCAAGCATGCTCACGAAAGTCAAAAGAATTTAGGATAATGAAGGGTGTGAATATCACTCTTGTCTTCGCCCATATCCTAGTCAGTTTATGCAATTCAGATCATAAAATATTGATCAGAAGCAAAGTACTATGCTGCTTTGATGGTAGTTTTCCTAGAGACTCTCTGAAGACTTCTACAGTATGCGTATTCTGTTTGAAATTGCCTTTTACTTGTCTGAACATATTTTTACTTGATTTGAGTAAAAAATAGGCATTTTATTTAAAAATGATCTTTCTCTTTTTTTTTACTATCGTATCAGTGAAAAAGATGTTGCTCGACAAAGAAAAAAAAGGGTAATAAAAGCAATGCGTACTCTTTTGGCTGATATTGTGATGAATCGAACGAGATAAAATGTTTGGTCTCGCTGTTTCACCCAAAAAGCTGCATAGGTTCGCAAAAATGACCTATAAGCATTACAATGAACGTAATTCGAGGCGCCACCATCGAAATACTTTTATTTGAGTTAAAATCGATTTAACATCTTGCCTATACTCAGTTTTTAACGTTGAATTTGAAAATAATACTCTCAGAAGCTGGCAAGAAGAATGAAATGAAAATTTTTCACATTTTGAAAAGAAAACTGTTTTTTAAGAACAACGACATCCTTCAAATTTTTGATTTTTCTCGAGCTGAAAACAGCATCCTTTAACACTCAGAACTATTTTTTTTTATCAACAACTCATACTCTTTCAAATTATGTATACAAAATACGAACAAACAACTTTATTTGAAGTTCGAATCGCTGACAGCTTACAAACGTCAATATATTCCGCCATTTTTGGTAGCTAATAATAACATTTTCTTAGTCACACAGATTTAGAAAACGTTTTCGAGGAAACATTGAGTTTTGTATAAATATTGAATCATATGTCGACAATGACTTGAAGTTGACACCCTTCATCATAAGTAAAGAATACCAAAAAGTTTGAGCTAGATTAACAAGAATTTGCTAACATTTTTCTTTACCTTTAACGATTAATATTACATGTCTGTTCAACATTTTCAAAGTGAACAAGCACCTTTATTCTTTGTGAAATATTTCTGCTTCGCCATTAATTTTTTTTTCTAGTAAACAGATGAGAAACTCTTCTTTTGAAGGTTACATTTTAGTATACATAGACTTTCGCATGTCTGTTCAAATACACGTTCTTTTACGTAACTTTCGAATTTTTTTTCTGATCTCCATTACTGTCATACATTGTAAAATGTGAATTTGAGAGAAAGAAGCACTAACTGTATCTCATATAAATGGTATTGCATTCGTAAGCGTCCGCAAAAATTGTAAAAACTCTCCCAAAAAAAAATTATGGATGTCACAAATCAAATTCAGCATAATTAAAAAAAAATATAAATGGTATTGAAAAATTTGTCCTTTCTCATTTTTAACTTCCAGATGTGACCTTATGAAAACATTGTTTTTTAGTCTACCCTAGAATCAAAACGTTCTGCCCATCTATGATTAAATAACAGTTGAAATATTTCTTCTACAAATAATTACATATTGTATTTTAGTTCATATTACTCTCGTTATTCATTATATCTTTATTTCTTTTTCTAATAGTGTACAAAGAGGATTACAACTAAAAGAATTTTTCTTCTTCTGATACATAATAAGAACAGCGAATAATTTTTTTTTCAAGCTTTAATTATATATTATTGACAGTAGATTTGTTCCGATTTTTTTTTATCCTCACTTAAGTTCATATATAGATTTTTAATGAACTCATTCTTTTTTTCATAGTTTGGACATTGCTTATAGTAAGTAGATTTGCTTTTGACTAAGATTTTCTTTTGGTTTCTAAAAATAAATAAATATATTTGTAAATTATTGATGCTTATATTATACAAAATATATCAAATCATAGTGTGAGTTATATGATTAAATAAATTTACATTTCGATGTATTTTTTTATTTGAATAAAACAAATAATAGATCAAATAATGATTAGAATTTAGTTCTTAAATAAAAATAAGATCATATGGTAAACGATTTTGATTGTAACAATAATTTGAAATAAAATGTTTCAATTATGTAAAATAGTTTGTTTGATAGAATTATTTTTGAAATTATTAAGTCTTTATGTTAAATTTTATTAGTATATTTTAGAAATCATATGAAAAAATAAAATGACATTTAAAAAGAAAGGAAATTTATTTAAATATGTTCATATCTCCTGCAAATAAATAGTTCGAATCATGAATTTCGAACATCAGGATTAAAAGTTTGAACAGCTATAAATTGCATAGTTTATCATTTGTTGTGTAGACGTCAGTGCCCTGCGGTTCCTACAATTACCCGGGAACCGAACCGGAACCGACGGTTCCGGCTCCAAAAACCGAAAAAATGCGGTTTCAGTTTCGGTTTTAAAATTTGTTTTAGGAACCGGTGTTTTTACATTGATATAAAAAATATTGAGTAATAGATATTTTTTAATTTCTGTATTCCTTTTTGAGATTGTGCATGTTTATTATTTCATAAAAAAAGTTTGAAAAAATACAATGAAAGATGAAAGAATGAGAAAACATACTATTATAAAATATGTTCACATGAAATTATTAATATTACAAAGTTTTAAAATAAATCTACTTCATCATTTTCTTCATAATCATCATCACTAAGAGTAATATCATCTTCATTCGTTTTAAATTTCTTTGTTATTGTAGTAATAGATTGTCCTTCATTTACATTAGAGATTGTAGAAGATGGCTGTTCAATCATCTTTCTTTTCACTTCATCTGTATTACCTTCAATAGATTTTTTTTTATCAAATGACTTTAGTAAAGTTAAATTTTTCTGTAAAAACAGTAACTTATTTATTTTTTCAGCACCTAGACTACTACGTTTATCTGTAACTGTATTCTTCGACGATGAGAAAAGTCTCTCTATACTCGTATTCAATGCTGGTACAGCATAAAAATCTTGAACCATAGAAAATAAGATTGGAAATTTCAATTTTTGTTGTAGCCAAAAGTGTAAAATATCATCATGCTCAGTCAATTGACATTTCATGCTATATATTCTTTTAATTCATCGTACGATATTGATGTCGATTGCAAGTCATTTTTTGGTATATCGAAACAGTATGAAAGAAGACCTTTTGACGCTGTTGATTTCGAATCAAGTGCATTTGTACGAGCAGGCGTTGTCGTAGTCGGTGTAAATGTGTTGGATGGTGTTATTGGCTGTCTCTTCAAAATTTCTTGTTGCACCAACTCGATAGCTTTTTCTTGTAAGTCAGGATTAACATGAAAATTTTTCATAGATGGATGCAGAAAGGTAGTTATGTAATGTACATCTTGCAATATCCAAATATCTTGAATACGTTTTTCTAAATACAAAAATAATTTTTTCAAAACTGGACTCTATTGTCGCATAAGCAGGTCAGATTTTTTAAATACTCTTGTATACCTTGATGAAATATGATAGGTTTTTAGTGAACATCATGAATTTTCTCTTTCCTGTCTGATATTAGAATAATCTTCTATGGTTTTTACCTCCCCTCTTCCCTAAAATATTTTATAGCATAAAACAGAAAATGAATGTTGGAATATTAGAAACTATAAGTTAATACCAAGAAATATTTTTATTTGTTGCATTCCATCATGGTCATCCGGATGAATTTTATAATGTTTTAATAAATATTGTCTTAATAGTAATACTTTATAAATTGTTGGTTTTGCATCACAACTAAAGTGTTCGATCACTTCTTCAAATGGTTTTAGAAATAAACACACAGATGCAAGTAAATCCTTATCAATCAACATATAATCATTCATATAAGTTCGATCTAATATACCAGTTAATTCATCAAATACAATTAAAAAAACATCCATAGTATAAAAAGCACTATTAAATCGACTATCAGAGTATGATTGAAGTTTTCGAAATAATTTGGATTGTTTGTGCGATCGTCGCATGTGAGATACAATTTGTCGGATACTATCGAACATTTCTTGAACAATATCACAATCAACAGGCATCTTGTCTATTATATCAGTAGTAAAACAATGTTGTAGTTGCTCATTCAGATAATGTATGGAACAACCAACTCTTGTACATAAATCTTTGAAGCTAGATTTCATCTTGTTTTCATTATCATAAACTACAAATTTATTATCATCTAATGTTAAATGATATTCCATTAATATGGAATCAACGAACTGTCGAATTTGATTTGAAGATTGATTGTCCCGATCATAAGGATAACAGTCCAATATAAAATACATAAGTTAGTTCCTATTAGAAAAAGAAATTTCTGCTACTTTTCTTTTGATTGTTGAATCTTTTACTTACAGTTGTTGGAGACGGAAGTAAATCCACAATATTAAGATCTTGTTTATTAGATAAATTTTGCCCAACATCAAGTACAGTCTATGCAAAATTGATGAATCCATCTCCAGAAATAAGTTCAAATGCACGGTTATCCAAAGAAACTAATTCCACAGCTGCATTTGTAATTTTTTCTTTTATTGTTCGTGGTATCGATGAAGATGTTTTAGGACGAAAATATTTCTTAATGATAAAACATTCACTTTGATTATTTTTGTTAGATGTTTGGCACGATTTCTGGTGCTTTATCATAGAACTTGTACCGCCCATCGATGTATGATGTAAGATTTCTTTACATTCGTCGCAAGATACAAAATCTTGTTTTTTGTTAGAGACGTATATACAACTAAAGTTTTTCCAAACACGTGATGATGCTTTTTCGGTTTTACGAATGCTATACTTTTATCATCAGCTTTGATTAACTGTATAATCATTTCTTTTGTTATTAAGGAATAACTCATGTTATCACTAGATATAAGTTTTTCTTAATCAAATGACATGAGTATACAAAAATTATAAAAAATAATCCCTAAAAGCAAAAGATGTTTGTTCACTCATGCTACATATATAAGTATAAATGAAAATATTTACTTATTTTGTTCGTAATAAGATCACAATTCAATATTTTAAATGGATAAAAGATTTCTTTGCGAGAAAATCATAGAAGAGTGTCAAGTTATATATTATGCGTCAATATTGATATATCACCTATCATTGACCTCACATTCGCTCGTCCATATCATTGTCGTCATTGTTCGTTTTGTTTATCTTTCTCTCACTGTTTTCTTTGTTCATCTTGTTCTCATTGTTTCCTTTCTTCCTCTGTTTGTTCTCGCTTTCATAGAAACGTATGTCAAATGTGAAGTAGACGCATTCTGGAAAGGTGAAGTAAGGTTAGAAAATCGATAGATGAACAAAGGAAACAATGAGGGAGATAGAAGAAGCAAGGAAAAACATAGGCAACGATAGATGATATGAATATAAGTAAAGATGACTCTAAGATTCCCTGCAATACAACGTCAACAACATTTTACTCATTCTTAACCTCTGTTTGACATATGAGCATGAAAAATGCACAAAATGCATCACTCTACAGGTCATAATCTGCATCAACATATTATTATGTTGCATTTGAACAATTTCTTAGCTATCATTAAAACTATGTTCGGTTCCGGTTCCGGTTTCGGTTCCATTTCCTTTTTTTTTCACGGTTCTGGTTCCGGGTAACAGAAATTGAAAAAACCGGTGCCCGGTTCGGTTCTGGGTTCCATTTTTTTTGGAACCGCAGGGCTCTAGTAGACGTTCACTATTATTTGACAATCGTTCTGTTTCATACGACTTGTATTCTTTGATTTTTCGGAATATAAAATTCAAATCAATGAGTATCGAGGAGAAATCTATCATCAGTATATCTTATAAATGTACTCGCCATTCCTTGAGATACAAAAAAAGACATTTTTTAAATTAATTAAATAATTTTTTTTGACTTGTGACTTAATCAAATACAGGTTGTTTTTATTTGATCATTCTTGTCAAGTACAATGATGCTGAATAGTACAACGATTAATAATCATTCGTTCATTTAAATCAACATCACTCTGACATATTTACATAGTCGATAGTAATTCATTTTTTTAGATAAGAAAAAGCTATTCGATTAGAGATAAAGAGATTTGATCTCATTGGCGATTCGTAAGGCTTACACTCTAAAATAAAATGTGTGGCATGTGTCGCAACGAGCACCTCGTGTCGTATTTCTTGCGTTCTCCGCTGGATATATATAACGAAGAACGCAAGAAATACGACACGAGGTGCTCGTTGCGACATATGCGACACATTTTATTTTAGTGTGTACTACTGAATTCTTTTTTTTATCAATAAAAAATCTAATTTTTGTTTTATATATTGACTTCAATATAATAGATTGAATTTATGCATAATTAATGTTAATTTCGATGCTATAAATAGTTCTATCATATTGGATATTACATATTGTTATGAATATATAAAAGAATCCTAAAAATACTTGAAGACCGAAATTTCTAATCGGACCAAAATTTGTGCAATTCAAAATATCCTTCGATTTCATATATTTATTTTGTTCTTCGATATTATTCATTGATAGAAGGGTATGTTTAACTGTCATCTAGGATTACATTTTTGATGAGCAACGAAGTTTTTTTTTGTAAATACGTCATGCCATTCATCCGACAGTAGACCAAAAGGGGACCTATCGATTGATAATAATAGTTTCTAAGAGTTGTTTATTGATTAAAAATTCGAATTTTTTGCGATTCATTTTGAATTATAATGGTTGGCGTGCATTTTATAATGTGTTTTTGTAATAGATCTCTTCTTATAAGCAGTTCTTTTAGTCATACATCAATGTGACAAACGTAATCAGTCATAATAAATAAAATTTCTTCCATTGACTTTTTTTCTTCATGAGTATGAAAGCACGTTTTATATACGTAAGCAAATATCTAATAAAAGTAACGCTAATCCGATAGATTTGTTGATCCTTTTCTGAAAGAAATCCTGCGCTACTTCTGTCAGATAGAGAGCTGCGAGTCCTGCCAGACCCGATCCCGACAGATTGAAAAATTTATTTTATTATCGGGCCCAGGTCCAGAAATTTAGATTTTGTCGGGTGGCGGCACGTGGAGTGTGGGTGTCGATGTGGATGTAGTGTGAACATGAGTGTCAGCGGATCAGGAGAAGATTCTCACCCAGACCTACACACACACCTTAAACGCACAAACACACCCATCGG